AGAGGGGAGAGGAAAGGGAAAGGAAAGAGAGAGAGAGAGAGAGAGAAAGAGGAAAGAGAGGGAGAGGAAAGAGGCATAAAATAATTCATTTGCATTTAATTGTAATGGTTCAAAGAATGTTCGGAAAAATGTTCGGCCCTCCAGCACGTTCACTTCATCCAATCTGGCCCTCTTTGAAAAAAGTTTGGACACCCCTGCTTTAGATTATTTGAACCTTACTCCCTATCTGGGATTGTCTAGTTGTTGCACCAATACATAAAGGTTTGTTCCTCAACAATGTGTGCACCACATTCTAAGGCAGGATTCCCAGCCTGTCTCCGCTCCAGATGTGGGGACGTTGGGATTCTCAGGAATGGCAGGTGGAGGAGTGCCGGGTTGGGAAGGAAAAGGCAAGCAAATACTGCTTGGGTGTCGTCCAGCCATGTTCCATCTAACTTTGGAAAGGGCAGTCAGAATGCCCAGATAATCGCCTGTAGATCTTCTTCTGTCTTCTCTGGATTAGAAACCTGGATTGCATGTCCTTCATTGATGAGGATATCTGTGGCCTTGTAAATATTTATGAAGGCAGAAAGATAATTTAAACATCAGTTTGTATTTAAAATGTGCTTGCTGGCTGGGCTCAGTGTATCTGCTGGGCTCAGGAGCTCAAATTCTTCCGTCCTTCCACTCTTCAGCAGCATTTAGTTCATGAGCTTCAGTGGGTGGACCCTCAGGGGACCCTCATGTTCTGGCAGGAAATGCTAGAATCAGTTGCCACCTCTGCTAAAAGCATAACAAGAACGTAAGAAGCTGATTTCTGCCTTCAGTGGAGAGCATTCAAAATATGTGCCTTCCATTATGGAGTTTCTTACCCTCTCTGCAGAATCTCAGGTTGGTTCATGGACCAGGTTTCAAAACATTGGATTGTTGGGTTTTTATAAATTGGGTCTCTGGAACTTCCAAGCCAAGGAGAATTTATTCTGTGTCTTCCAGCCTTTTCCCAGAGAGACTGATATAACCAAGAGTGTTGTGGGTAACCCTCATTCGAATCTTAATTGAACTTCCCCAACCTGGCCTGGGCTCTTCTGGCTGGCAGGCCTGGAGCTGTAATTGTAACACATCTGGAAAAGAGCTGGAAAATTCTATATCAATATTAAATCTAATTTCTAAAATGGCAATAAACATAGGGCTGCTTGAACTGTATGATTAAAATTAAGTGTGGCATCGATAGACAGTTATGTAATACATTGAATTATTTTATAATATAAAAAAATCTTCTGGCTTGGAGTTCATGCTTAATATTAAGTATTCCACTGTATTGCTTATTATTGTTTGCAAGTGTTAAAAGAAAAAAACAGAAAAGGAGGGACAGATTGTACTCTAGTTGTACTGTTGAAAACAGAGCTCCCCAGAGTTCAAGCTTGGCTCCTCCTCTGTTGCAGATGGAAGAACTGGTGGGTGAGAGGCATCCTGACTCTGGCCATGATTGTCTTCTTCTTCATCATCATCTACTTGGGACCCATGGTGTTGATGATGATTGTAAGCTCTTGTTGTGTCTGAAAAGAAAATCTTGTGTTTTGGGGAGCTGGAGGGCTTTGGAGAAGTTCCATCCTCCAGATGGACCGGTGGCTTGAATCTCAGGTTAGAAGGCAATCCAGATCCATGTCCGAGAGAGAGAGAGCCAAGTGGGAGGGACCATTTGTAACTTTCCAGAATCCAAGTTCTAATCACCCTTTTGCTGTTTATTCCAAACAGGTTTTTAAAGTGCTTCAGCTTGTATTTAAAATTTCTTTTGTAAGGAGAACATTTACCCAATGCTCTCAGACTTGTCAATCCAAAGGTTTCTAAAAGCAATTAACTAAGCAATTTCCGAGGAGCAGCTGTCTGGAGCACTGGAGGGCAATCTCAAACCCTCTCCTTGTCCAGAGAGACTTTGCAAAGAGCTGGTCTGCTCGCTAGCTCTTCATTCGACCATAGACATCTTCAGTTCGCCATTTCCTCCCCAGAAATCTGGATGGTTTTTATTTATTTATTTATTTATTTGTATCCTGCCTTTATTACTTTTACAAATAATTCAAGGCGAACATACCTTACACTTTCCTCCTATTTTCCCCATGAGGTGGATTGGGCTGAGAGAGACTGATTGGCCCAAAGTCACCCAGCTTACTTTCATGCCTAAGGTGGGACTAGAACTCCCATGATTATACTGATATTATCATCAGGCTAAAAGGTTTGGCGCTAAAAGATCCCCACCCACCTATCTGAAGAAATTATTACTGCCATGAAAATGCTCTTCGGCCTGAGAGAGTGTAAAATGGAAGACCGTGTGTCTTGCAGGTGATGTGTGTCCAAATCAAATGCTTCCATGAGATCATCACCATTGGTTACAACGTGTACCATTCCTATGAGCTGCCCTGGTTCAGGACTCTGAGTTGGTAAGTGGGGGCAGCGTTGTTTGTCTGTATGGTCTGGAGAAATTCAAGGGGAGTTTTGTGTCCATTTATCTTAAGGAAGTCTCTGTGGAAAGCCTTTCCACCCTCGGGCACCCTCCTCTCCCTCCCTTGAACTGGAGCAGGGTGGAGACAGAGGTTACATGTGGAGACACTGGTAAGGCTTAATAACAGTCTGGCTATGTCCTTTTTAGGTACTTCCTGCTCTGTGTGAACTACTTCTTCTACGGCGAGACGGCGACAGATTATTTTTTCACTCTGGTCCAGAGGGAGGAGCCCTTACGCATTCTTAGCAAATATCACCGCTTCATTTCCTTTACCCTCTATTTGACAGGTGAGCAGAGCCATGGGATCTCTTGCTTGGGTTTATGGAGGAGCGTCAACGCTGCTAACATCGAATGTTCTTGCTTTGACAACATATGGAGATGCAGCCGTTTCCCTCTATTTTATGTTTTACTCTTAGAGTTAGAATTAGATGATACTGGGAGGGAGGAGGAGGAATGTGCTTGGGAGTTTAGTTAGACATAACAATACTGTATAAGGGTGGGAACCAAGGTTTTTTTTTAATAAGAGATGATAAGACATGGGATGAAGAACTGGAGGGAAAGCCAGCATTTCAAACTAATGGGAGAATGTGATTTATGACTGTTAGTTAGAGGAGGGAATTGGGCTTGGATACTATGTGCTTAGGGAGGGGAGTCAGATTTTGGCTTGGACTATGCACCTGCCGATGTGTTGCTACTTGAATAAAGATTCTTTAAGGTAAACAATGCCTCAAAGTTCTTTGAAGAGCCCACAGGGAGGCCGTGGTTCCTGAGATCGAATGGTGGTGTTGCTCCCCACGTAAGGTGTGTATCTGTGTCTTCTCTCCAACTTCACTGGGATCAGAAGTGCTGATTGGGCCTTGTCAATTCCCTTGTGGCTGAGCGGAGAGCAGGCGGAGAGCTAGCTCCCCCTAAATTCCATTTTCTTTCTTCTACTGCAGGTTTTTGCATGTTTGTGTTGAGCCTGGTCAAAAAGCATTATCGTCTTCAGTTCTACATGGTAAGATTATGTAAATGGATTCTGTGCTTTCAGAGTTAACAGCCCACCTGGGAATGGGGGGAACTGAGAGGAAGAGAGAGGTGGAAATGGACACAAAATTGGCACCCGGACACAACAACAAACCTTATGTGGAGCTTTGCAAGAGGGATAAGCACCTTGTTCTCGGGCTCTGAACTGTACATTTTGCTGAATGGTTTTTAGAAAGAAAGAATGGAGAAGCGTGCAGAAGTGGAACCTGCTGGTCCAAAGATCGGACAAGGAAGGGAAGATTATCTTAAGAGCAGCGCTGGCCTCTGTATTCAGAGATAAGGAGCACGATCGCCTGTCTTCTCCTCACTTGCCTTGCTAAAAGCTGTCCTTACAATTTGTCCCAAAAGGAAACATCATTCTCTGTAGAGAGGTTGCCCCCCAAAATATCAGATCCTTAGCTGGGGCAAGTTTAAAAGATGCTTAATGAAGAAAGTCCGTCATCCAGAGGATGAACTGGGGAGCCTCTCACATTAATTGTAATTAATGACCCAGCAGCACACCGGCAGGAAAAGTCTTTCAATCTCCTTGAAGACTCCATTTCTTTGGCCGTTGTCTTACAAACTAAGGGCATACAAATGAGACCAGAATTTCTGTTGCTAACCAGGACAGTTGTTAAGTGAGTCACGCCTTATTTTATAAGCTTTTGTGTCACTTCAGTTAAGTGAATCCTACTCCTTCCGTTGATTTTGTTGGAAGCCAGCTGGGATGAAAGCACACGGCAATCAGATGATCCCGGGATACTGCAGCCATTATATAATGCCAGTTGCCAAGCACCCAAATTTTGATCATGTGATCATGGGGATGCTATTACAGTCCTAAGTAGGAGGACCAGTTGTAAGTCACTCTGTTTAGTGGTGTTGTAACTTTGAACGGTCACTAAAAGAACAGTTGTAAGTTGAAGACTACTGTATCTTTCTGGTTTTGCTCACAAATACTACAAAAGCATGGAAAAAAGAAACTCCAGTGGGAGTTTGGCTATACCCACCATCTCTCTCTCCCCCTCTTTTTCCCCTTTTTCATACCTATGTGCAGATATATATGTATATATATATAGATATATAGGCGTGTGTATTCTCAGCATTTTGGCTTGTCTCTGAGAAATGTTTTCCTCTCCAAACTGGACTGCATGTTCTCTCTTTCTAGTTTGGCTGGACCCATGTGACTTTGCTAATAATTGTTACCCAGTCGCACCTCATCATTCACAACCTATTTGAAGGAATGATCTGGTGAGTCAGCGCAGCGGGCGGGGTACGATATCCCCTTTGCTGGGGAGGATGGGCTTGGCGGCAGCATCCCGTAGAGAGACCTTGTGCATGTAGCTGCTGCGTGATGGGTCCTACGGAGAGGAAGGGCTTCATGGTCTCTGGCTCGAGGGGGGGAAGGTTTAATGGGCCGGGGTCTCTAGGGTGCTTCCAGTCTCCACAAAGCAAAAGACCCCGTTTGGTCCCAAAGCTTCTCTAGGCGGCTGCGCCTGGCTGCGTGTGCTCTTACTAACAATCGGGGAATGGCCCCTTTGGGGTTTGGAGCGGTAGCTGTTGTGCATTAAGCCACAAGCACATTTGCCTTGAAGTGTTTTCCAAAAGCTTTTCCCTCGCTTGAGCATGGTGTGAAAGGTGCACATCAGATCTCGGTATGCAAAGTGCTTTTGAATATTGCTCCCCCCCCCATTTGGCAGCCCAGCTCTGACCATCGGGGAGGGGGGTCAAAGCTGATGGGCATTTCTTGGTTCAGCTCTAGTGAAGGAATGGCCGTTTGGGGCTCTGGGAGGTCTTTTATCAAACCACCTAATTTAGGGGCATAGGAACCTGCAAGGCACTTTTGCAACACAGGAGCTTCCTCCAGCTGGGAGGGGCTCAACGCAGCAGGTGCAAAGATTGGGTCAGGGTATTTATTTATATAAAATAAAATATTATTATATTTTTGTAAAAGACAAATAGCATTGGGGAGATAATAGGGAGCTTCTTCCAAGGAATGGGGGGGGGGGTAAAGCTTTTTAAGGAGCCTTGCTGGCTGTTTAGGGTAGGGGTAGGCTACTTTGGCTCTTTTATGGCTCATGGACTTCAACTCCCAGAATTCCTGAGCCAGGATGGGGAAACTATGGCCCCTTCATGACTTGTGGACTTCAACTCCCAGAATTCCTGAGCCAGGATGGGGGAACTATGGCCCCTTCATGACTTGTGGACTTCAACTCCCAGAATTCCTGAGCCAGCATGGCTCAGCTTGGAAACCTCTCCCTTTCCCCTCAGCATGGCTGGCTCAGGAATTCTGGGAGTTGAAGTCCACAAGTCATAAAAGAACCAAGGTTGCCTAGCCCTGGTTTAGGGCAAATGCTCCCTCTGTCTAAAACCGCCTTCCCTGGCCTGATATCCTCCAGAGGGGTAGAGCTTTTCAGTTTCCCAACCAGCATCGTCCAAGCGAACAGCCCTCTCAGTTGGCAGTTTTATTATCTGACTATTGTTGAAGCAAATTCTCCCTTCTCTTTTACCCGCCTTGGATCCTGTTTTAGGTTTATTGTCCCAATTTCCTGTGTCATCTGCAATGACATCATGGCGTACATGTTTGGATTCTTCTTTGGACGCACCCCGCTGATTAAGGTCTGTTCATATCTGGGGTGCCTGGAACATCTGCAGGAGGCAGCCTTGGGCTTCAGTTAAGGCCAAAGTCACCCATGATCCACTCCCAACTGATGGGATAGCATAAAAATTCAGAATAACAGAGTTTGAGGTCTTCTAGTCCAACCTCCTGCTCAAGCAGGAAATCCTATACCACTTCAGACAAATGGCTGTCCGATCTCTTCTTGAAAACTTCCAGTGATGAAGCACCCACAACTTCTAGAGGCCAGAAGTTCCACTGATTAATTGTTCTCACTGTTAGGAAGTTTCTCCTTAGTTCTAGGTTGGATCTCTCCGTGATTAGGTTCCACCCATTACTTCTTGACCTGCCTTCAGGTGCTTTGGAGAATAGGTTGCCCCCCCCCTCTTCTCTGTGACAGCCCTTCAAATATTGGAAGGCTGCTCTCATGACACTCCTAGTTCTTCCCTTCTGTTTCAGTTTTGTAAATCCTGCATGTTTTGGCCTTGAGCTTCCTGCTTTCTTTCTCCCTCTTTTTCTCTTGATTGATTCATTCCTTTTTTGTTGTTTTTTTTAATCTGCAGTTGTCCCCAAAGAAAACCTGGGAAGGGTTCATCGGAGGATGCTTTGCCACCGTCGTGTTTGGCCTTTTAGTAAGTGTTTGCTTTACTTTAACAAGAACCGTGCAGTCGAGAGGGGAAAACAAAGAATTTGGACACGTCTATAATAGACAGGTCTGATCCATAGGGTGCAGAATCCACCAGGAAATTCCCAAGGAAAGGCTTATTCAAACTGGAAAAGATGTGAGCAAACAACACGTTTTTTTTAATTAGGACAGTTTGAACACTAAGAGAGACTACAGGAACTGTGTATGTTCCTTCATGAGAACAATGAGGAAGGATAAAATAGGTTTCTTGTTCTCCATTGTTCCAGAATAACAGATTTAAGTCTCCGGCAGTTCAATTCCAGTTTCAGTGTTTGAAAAATCCTGATTGAAATGATTGATAACAGGGACTGCTGGAATTGCTGTTGCTAAGTGATTCAGCCACGTGACAGTGTGCCTTACAACCATGTGAAGTCTAGTGACGGAAATCCCATCCCAATTACCCTAGTTAACTGAAACTATTTGTAGTTAAGCCTTGAAAAAATTATTATCCCTTCTGGCTTCCGTGTATATGAGTTTGATCTGTGTTTATGTACCATGGCAGAAATTAACTCTTTGATGCTTCTGTTCTTCCATCAATCACAACCAAGCTATCATACTTGATGTCCGGATACAGATGTTTTACCTGTCCAGTTGAATTCAACAACGACACCAACAGCTTCACTGTGGACTGTCAGCCTTCGGAGCTTTTCCAGCTGCACGAATATAACATCCCACTGGTGCTTCAGTCTGTGATTGGCTGGGTAGGAACTCCGCTCGCCCTGTCAGTGTTGCAAAATTGCTAAAATGTGTGTTCTTTTTCACAAGCTATATGGGTGGGGGGGATTATGGCCATCATATTGTATTTCTGGGGTGGAGTAAGGGGTGAAATTGGTATTATTTCCATTCCTCCCCCCACCCCGCCGTCTTTAACCCTGGCCTCATGCCCTTAGCAGGTAGAAGAAGGAATTGTGGCTATAATTCAAGGTTGCCCACCATGGTTGTGTTCCAGAAACTGAAATTAGCTTGTGATGGTGCCAAAATAAGATTCAGTCCATCAGTGTCTCACTGTCGACCTCCAAGGTTGGGTCAGGACGGTGCAGGGTGCCAACTCTCATTATGGTTGGAACCCAAGTACAGAGAATCAGCCAAAATTGAACTATGGGATAAATACAAACAGAGGCACTCAAGGCATCCCACAGAACCTAGGGCTGAGTTCCAGACCATATTAGATTCTTGGTTTAGTTCCTCTCATAAATAAGCCTTTGGCCTTTAATTTGACTTCAGATAACGATGGTCAAACACTGAGGGTGTGATTAATACAAACACATCTTGCAGGAGATGACCAGACTGAGCACAAGGGGGGGGGGTCAAGCACATCATCAGCCTCGAGTTCCTTCGTGCCCACAAGACATCTAAGTCCAGCCCACTTTGAATTCCATCGGTTCTTATTTACTGCCAATTTGCTCTGGCCTTTAGTAGTTCACATTCTTGTAGAGAGCTTAAGCTTGCAATAAACCTATATATTTATTTGAACTGTCTGGACTTCCGATTTTCCCACGCTTGACACTCCTGTGGGAAGTTCATGAGGCCCTGTGGGCAAAACAGGAGCTCATCTTAGTGAACCAATAAACTGGCTTGAAAGCTGAGCCCCGAGGAGCAAGGTGGCCAGCGTCCCTCCTCTGCCTTCCTTGCAGGTGGTGAGGCCTGCCTCTGACCGGGCCCATTTTCCTTATCTCCCTCTCCTTCCTGCAGAAGACTGTCCGGATGTATCCCTTCCAGATCCACAGCATTGCCCTCTCCACTTTTGCATCCCTGATTGGACCTTTTGGGGGCTTCTTCGCCAGTGGCTTCAAAAGAGCGTTCAAAATCAAGGTAGGTCCCAGCTGGGCAGCAGTAGCAGCAACGTCCCAGCGGTTGTAAACCCTTTGTAGAAAAAGGTCTGATCAAATTCTTCTGTTGCGTTTCTTGGAAGAGACGATGTTTTATTAATTGATTAAATTGATGTCTCATCTCTATGGTGCACAATCACCATCCTGCTCCCTTCTCAACAGCAACCCTTAGAGGTGGGTGGGCAAAGAGAGGGACTGACCCAAGACATCCAGCCAGCTTCTTGAGCCTAAAGAAGGAGTAGGAATCACAGTTCTTCTCGTTTCTAATTGGGAATCCTTGTTTAACAACCACAATCGGGGACAGCAACTTAGTAAGCAGTTGCTAAGTGAAGCTGGGCTGCTTACTTCAGTTTTGCTGTGCTTTACCCCCCTGTGAAGCTGAGTAAGGAGTATAGCTAGATAATAGTCCTGGATCAGGAATGCTTTATTTTGCATTCTTGCACTTGGTGGGGGGGATGGGGGGGACTGGATGTCCTCAAGTACCCCTTCCAACTCTAGCTTTCAGTGATATAAGTTCCAAAGCTGCTAGTGTTCAGTTTTTTTCTAGTTGGATTAAATATTGGAATTCCTGAAGGCTCAATAAAACATTTTCTTTTAATTGGCAGGACTTTGCCAACACCATCCCCGGGCACGGGGGCATCATGGATCGATTTGACTGCCAGTACTTGATGGCCACCTTTGTCAATGTGTACATCGCCAGCTTTATCAGGTAATGGTTGTGAAGTTAAACACCACACACAACTCCTGTTTCGCAGAGTTCGAAGTGAGCTGCACAAGGATTCGTTTGAAAGGGAAGCAAGGGGAACGAGCCTCCCACCATTCTTGTAGAAACAGTCTATCTGACCCACCCCCATTCTTGTTTTCTTCTTTCCAGGGGCCCCAATCCCAGCAAGCTGATCCAGCAGCTCTTGACGCTGCGGCCCGATCAACAGCTGAACATCTTCAATACGCTAAAGGCTCACCTGGTCGACAAGGGAGTGATTCCCAGTTCCGAGGACGCATAGACAGCTCGGCCGCTGGGCGGTGACTGAATAAGGGCGAGCACACCCCCACCCCGCCACTCCCCGCCATAGGATCCCTGCCCACCCATCCACCTTGCCTGGTCTAGCACAATAACCAAGCCGAGCCTCTCTCGCTTTCTCCTTCCTTCCACATCAAAGGGGACGTGTCGATGGCTTGGGGGGGGGGACAGTTCGTCTGTGTCCAAGCAGACAGGAGAGGGGGCTTCGCTCGGAAGAAATTGGGGCGCAAAGGAACCGACTTGGCTGAGTGTTTTAGAATGCAGCCTTCCCTTCAGAGCTGTGCTTGGGGGTTTTCTCCTCCTGGGGGTGGGTGGGGGTCTCATTTTGTTTTTTCCCCATAACCCGTCCTGCCCCTCTCCCTACCTCCCCCAGTCTGCAAAGCCGGAAACGCTGGGGAAATCTGTTTTAAAGTAGACGGAGGCTTCTGGTGGTGTCTATATAAGGAAAGGCGTGGCAGGAAGGAAGTGAGCTGGCAGATGTAGGGGCAGAATTTGGGTGCATATTGATCAAGGTGAAAATAACTATGCTGGCCAGAAGGCAGCTACAGTGGGGATCCCCCTGAGCAGAACCAGGACTCTTGCCATGGTTGGCATCCATCTTACTCAGCTCCAGAAAAACTTGTTTGATTTGGGGAGGGGGGGGGTTTCTAATAAATGGAGAGGTGCTCTCCCCACCTCCACTCACAGCGTGGCCTGATACCAAAATGCAGCAGAAAAATAAGTACAGGAAGCGAAGAGAGTGTCGTAGTTTACCCTTTCAAAAAGGCTCTGGCTAAAGTCGTCTGAAAGCAGGGCTTAGACCAAACAGATGTAAGTTCACACATGCAGATGAACCCTTTGAACTGAATCTTGTCCTTGATAAGGAAGATAGGTTACATTATCTGTTCTGCCCAGGCTGCTTTGCGTGCAACCATCAACACCCTCGTTGTGCTCTGGGGCTGGAAGTATCGTTAGGCAAGGGAGCTAACAAGGATTTCGACAGCGTCAAGAGAACATCGGAAGAGAGCCACTTGGTAGAAGAGGCCCCAGGATGATGTACAGCATCTTTTTAGAAAGCCTTGTAGGACCTGGATCCAAGCCCTGGCCCCCCATTTCTTGAGCAACCGTCATGTGACGGTGTTTGTGCGGTCTCTGAGGCCAGACACAAGGATTGGTGGTGATACTGCAGATAGATGTAGACCAGGGGTAGTCAACCTTGGCTCTTTTATGACTCGTGGACTTCAACTCCCAGAATTCTGGGAGTTGAAGTCCACGAGTCATAAAAGAGCCAAGGTTGACTACCCCTGATGTAGACAGTGGATTGTTTGGTAGGCAGGGGGCACGTGTGGAGCAGTTGGGCACCCGTTGCCGGTCAGCTCTTTCATCCCACCCTGTCAAACAGCCTAAACTGTGGGGGGCAAAATGCAGCATTTTAAGACGGGTTCTCAACCTCAGCATCTTGAAGCCCCCAGATCTTGAATATTGCTGAGGTTGAGGAACCTCAACATTGGATAATGTTCTCATGTGCTTCTGTTTGACGCTTGCTTGAAGGCCTCCAGGCCTCCAAATGCCTCATGAAGAAGAAGCAGGACTCTGTGGAGCACTGGAGAAATTTCTACATCCCGTAGCTTAGGAGTCTCCAAATTTGGCGATTTTAAAACTTGTGAACTTCAACAGCACATGCTAGCTGGGGAATTCTGGGAGTTGAAGTCCACAAGTCTTAAAAGTCACCGACTTTGGAGACCCCTGCTATAAGTGAAAAAGCCAGCATCCTCTAGCCAGGTTCCCTTTTCTCTTCTCCCCCCCCCCCCCCCCCCCCCCCCCCCCCGGCATATCTCCTTCTGCTAAACAACTCCAGATACTGGCAGAGTTAGTCTAGGGCACCACTGGCTTCCTGTAGACAGCACCTAAGCTGGCAATATTAGTCCTGCCAGCATAGCTACGTGAGCACCATGTATCTTCCTAGCCTTTAGCTCCATTCAGAAATGGTTTCCTACTGCAACTGGTTCTTTCTCTCTTTTTCCCTTTCCATTCCCTCTTCCCATGCCCTGTGCTTATTTCTCTGTGCAGTGTCCTTTTGAGGAAGGGATGTTGATGGCTGTATTGTTTCTTTTGCAAATGCCCATAAAGCAGGAGAGTCTGCAGGGTGGGTTCAAAAAAGTCAGGAGGGGGGGGCCACACAGGTGCAGTCAAAACCTGCATTTTTTGTGCGTGTTGCAAACAGGTGGCGCTTCAGTTGTGCTGTTGTGGCCTCCAACCTGACTTTTTTTGACCTTACCCAGCAGGCACCCTTGCCAATGGCTAATCTTTGAGTTATATGGGTTTTAATTTCTTTTGTTGCTGTTTTGTTCCGACTGTCAAAATGTGAAATATTGTACAAAGGCATTTTACCCTATTTATATACTGTAATGTTATTAAATAAAATGTATCTAAAGTAATTATTTGTACATGCAATATTGGGAAAAGGGCGGGTTTCAACTTGGTCAGTTGAAGCAGCTGGCTGAGACTTCCCAGAAGAGCATTGCAGTGTGAATCAGCTTTGCAAGCCACAACATCTGCACCGTCCTTGATTGGCACATTGAGTTGTGTGAACCGGACTTCTTTCAGCTTCTACCGGTATGGATGGCTCACTTCCAAGGTTTGTAAAACGTGGGTGCAACGAGACGGCAGGTGCTGTGAGCAGCGCAAACTGTAAACAGTAAACAAAACTAAACGTGCAACAGTGCTGTAAAATTCCGTTAGATTTATATAGACTTGCAACAAGTGACTATTAAAGGAAAAAAGGAAGTAATTTTATTTATTATTTTCCAATCCAAGACCAACCCAACCAACAAAACTTATATAGCAGTTAATAAATTATCCAAAAAAGAAAACTGAGGAAGGCACCAGCAGATTCCTGCAGGTTAAAACTATCAATAAGCATTTTGTCACCATTTTTGATCTATTTAGAAAGATTGTTTCAAGGGATAGTAGGGATCTTGGGAGAGAAGCAATTGGGATTATAAATTTAAATTTTCATTACGGGTGTTTTAATAGAATACAGGATGTAGTTTCCACCTCACTACATCTTGAAGATGTCCATACATCTTCAAGTGGGCAGAATTGGGAACACTGCTCTGAAGAAGGGATGTTTTTAGACCGATAATCTCCCCTGGGTCGGTGGTGTAGGGAAGGTTCCCCATGGAGGTACTTGGTCAATGCGTATCTACTCTTGACTCTTTAAGGGGCCTGCCAGCCCTCCCACTTTTGCCCTACTTGTGACTAATGCGTCATGCCAAGGTCTTACGTTGCCTTGCAGTGGAAGTGAAAGGTCTACAGCCCACGCAGTCAGCTCTTCTACCCAAAGACCAAGTGAGACCAGAAGATGGAGATGGTGGCAACTTGATGTAGGGCAGGGGTCTCCGACCTTGGCAACTTTTAAGACTTCAACCATGCTGGCTGGAGAATTCTGGAGAATTTTGGGAGTTAAAGTCCAGAAATCTTAAAGTTGCCAATGTTGGACACCTCTGACTTAGAGCATCACTGCCTTTTAGTCATTCCCAACCTTGTGGGCTGAGACGAGCAGACTAAACACTCCAAAGACTTTCTAGCTGTTCTTTCCCCACTCTCTCCCCCCCCCCCCCCCCCCTTTTTTNGTTCTTTCCCCCCCCCCCCCCCCCCCCCCCCCGGCTTTAGTTCACCAGCTTCACATGCGGAAGGCTCACTTCCTCAAAGCTGGTGAGACAGCAGCACCCATGTGTTCAGCCACCAGGGCGGGTGCCTTGCATGGCACATCTGTGGTTTTGCAGAGGAACACTCTAGAGAACATGGAGCTAAATGCAACCAAAGACCTACCAAAAATGAAGGTGACCCCACCAGGTTCTTCCTGTCTGTGAAATGAACTGAGGTCCGACTAACATCTGGAAGGTGAGGGAACTAACTTTGCACCACAAGAAAGCAAGAGAGAACTATCTGTATGTCACAGAGGATCCCACGCTGTGTAGGCGGAAGTTGTTGGCAAACCAACGAGACTTTGCTTTTCTCAAGAAAGCTCAAAGCGTCAACTGAAAAACATCTCTCCGGTGCTATACTCTGGAGCAGGAAAAAGGACCCACACTACGGGCCCCTGTGTGGATGCAAACCTTACAGCTGGAGCCGGGATGTCTCTCAAATTTCCTCGTCACTGGGATTTCCATCTGAAGAGGGATGTGTCCAAAATAGGTATTCTCTTATTTTAAAAAATGAGTCAAGGAGTAGCCCTAGACATTGTCCTCGGGTTCAGTGTGTAAAGGCTGTGAAAATGTGGAGTTGCTCCCTTTCCAGGCTGTGTAGAGATTTAAACCCAGGTGAGCTACTCAAGGCTTTCCTCTCCTCCTTCCACAGTCTGCCTCTTGTGGGTCTCAGGGCTGGTTTGGGTTTTGAAAGGCTTCTGCTGAGGTCCAGCCCTCCTCCTAGCAATAGGCAAATGTTGCCCCTTGAGACAAAGAGCTGTATCTAGTGATAGGCCAATTTAGGCTCTGATTTAAATGCATCACCCAGTTGAGCTCAGTTCTTTTGCAGTTCCGTATTGCAGGCAGGTGGTTTTGCTCTTGCGAGGTCTTGCTCTGGCTTTTGACTTCATGCAGATTTAGAATCTGTGGGATTCCAGCGTTCCTTTCTCACAAGCTGGAAGGAGCCATTTCCCCACCCCCACCCTTCTGTGATGCCCACTTGGCAGAAAAACAGCCAGAGGGCTCTTGGTGGCACCATCCAAGCCCATCAAATCATTATTTTCTTGTCTTGTCTTGCCAAGAAAGAACCCCCATCCACCCTCACCCTGCAAGGTTGACTGCATCCATTTTTTTTTCAACCACTTTTCAGACTGTGTCAAATAAGGGAAGGTGTATTGAAACAGGAGGGGAATCTGCAGTTAGGGCGATCTTGCTTGGAGGCTGAAGTTTCTGGTGGATCAATCATTTGTGCCATAGCATCTCTGTTGAATTAGTGTTCCCGTTGAGCCAGCAAAATCTCCATTTTTGAAGGTGTCAACATCAAGCGCATTTTTTGTTTTGAGCAGTTAAGTCAAAATCTCTGGCCCTCAATGCCTTCTGATGCCATTTCAATGAGTCTTCAAGAAAAGGGACACAGCAGGAATGGTCCTGCAGGAAACAGGTTCTATGAGTGCTGATCTTGTAAGTTGCTTTCCCCAAGGATCCCTGCTGTACTAGGTCTTAGCACCTGCCAGTGGACAGGATCTGATCATGAGCACTTTGTGATTCAAGAGGCATTTTAGCTCACTGTTCCTCAGCCTAGCAGGGAAGGCTCTGCTCTGCTTCCAAGAACCTTCTGGAGAAGTTAGAGGTTTCATGGTCAAGCATTGTTGACTTACCGTTCTCTAACACCTTCCCTTTTCCCTCCAACTTCCCCTCCCATTTTCATTTTCTCTCCCCCTCCAACCCTCCAGGGCAGCGTTTCTCCTCATCATTTAGAGAAGAAATACATGTGATCTTCATTTTACTACTTGAGGTCTTTTGCTCTCCTTGTACTTTTTTCTAAATAAAGATTTTTGTACTGTTGCAAAAGTTGGAATTCCCCACACTTGCAAATTCCCCTGCTTTAATGTGATTGGGAGTTTTTACATAGCTCCATCTAGGAGAAAACTAACCGGTAAGTTGTAGATTAGTGCAGTTTTACACTATGGTTTTGAAAGGCAATGAACTAGGAGAATAAATCTATGTAGAAAGAATATTGTGATTCCTTAAATCAAAAGTGGTTAGTTTTCAGGTTTAAATCACCTGTGACCATTGGACTATTTCAAAGGTTTTCTGCAAAAGCCCACTTCAGATTTATGATGAAATAATATATTGTTGAAAGGAAAATCTTCATCAGGGTCCAGTCCAAGCCAGGAATAAACAAAATGGAGACTGCTTTAGAAAGAAGATTGTAGTTTATTGAAGAGCAGGACCACAAGACATGAGACTCTGGAGCAGCTGACCACATGTTGCTGGGAGTGGTGGGTTTTTATACCTTCTTGGGCTTTTGTGTTTGGAGTTGTTCTTCCTGTCCCTATAGCATGAACTTTGACCTGAGTTTTTGTGCATGTCCTTTTGGTATTTTGATGGTGGTGGGTTAATCCTATTATGCCCTAAAGGTCATGTCTTTAGAGTTTGTAGATTTTAGGGGTCTTTGTCTTTCTAATCACATCAGCTTCTAGCTTCCAACCTTCCTGAATAGGATTATCAAATCTGCATTTCTAAAAGCTGGCCTGTTTGGTTTCTGCTTGGGGGAGGGAGACTTGGGGCTGTCTTTGCTTAAGATTTTTCATTATTCCTTTGGGGAAGTATAATATTCTGCTTTTTAATATTCCCCAAAATATTTCTTTCTTGGGGGGGGGAGTGTTGTCCTCCTACAATATCTTTGCATACAATCCATTAATCCCCTCTAAGATGCTTTGCAAAACTCTTGTAAAAGGTTCAGATTTTAAACACCCAGGGGTAGACATTTGAGCTTTGTTGCGGCATTTTCTACAGCAGGAGAGGGAAATCAAAATGCGACATAGCCTTTACAAGTTCAGACTCTTTCAACATGACTATTGTAATCTATTTTGGGCTCTTCAACTCCTCTTCCAATCATAAAACTTGAAATCAGTGTTACAGATTTTCACATGTTGAAAGTGAAAGAAAAAGCAATCCTATCTCTGGAGCATAAAACAACAGCCGGAAGTCTCTGCTTCTTCTTTTATATGTGATGCAGCTCCATGTCTTCTGCATTTGCCCCCTGTTGACTGGAGCCTAAATCCAGAAAACATGGTCTGTGGCCTCCTGTGCGCAGAAGACCAGCAAGCCGACCCTAAGGCAAATACGACTGAAGTTTTAAGACTTAAATTTTTAAAGACTTTTTAACTTTTTAAGATTTTTAAGTCTTTGGAAATCCAAAAAGAAATGGTTCACCTCTGTTTTGGCAACCTTATTCAATAAAAATATAAAAAATAAAGGAAAAAAATAAAAAAGAGAAACCGATAACTTGACTTTATGGAGATTTCCATGTAGAACTTGCCAACAGTACGGACCCGGGATGCTGCTGCCTTCTTTCAATCTCAGAGTCTGGTGATCCCCATTTTCAAGAAGTGTGTTGTTTGCACTAAACTCCTCAAAGAAATGAGATGAATCAAAATGGAAAGAGGCAAAACCTTTTTTAAAAAAAAAAATTCACACCCTCCATTTCCTCCTGCCTCACCCACCAGCAGCCAACAGAGAGCACTCAGGAACACATTTTAGATTTCTTTAGAGACCCCCTGGATTTTTCTTGCTTGAGAAGAGTTATTATATAGGGTTTCAGGAAGGGATTTATTTGGCTGGATCTGAACTGAACTCAGCTGGAGTGAAATGGCAGCATTTGGGGCAAAACTGAATTCTTCCACACAGCCAGCTGAAGTTCTGAGCTGCTACACCACAAGTTCCCCAGAAGTTTCATTTCCACCTAATTTCCTCTTGCAACAAGTTTGTCTGCCAGTCTATGCAGAGAGCGAAAGTCAATGAGCAGCGGAAACTTTAGGTTTGTTGCAGGGTGTGTGTGTGTGTGTGTGTGTGTGGCAGCTGGAAGGCTCAAAGAGACAACCGTAGATGGCAAATCATAGCAGTGTGATAAAAACTGATCGTGTGGCTGTGTTTACTGTAGAGGCCTCCCTTGTGTCAAAAATGGAAGAACCAGCTCTCCAGTGGCCAGCAGCAGCAGCCAGAGGAGGGTCACAGTGGCAAAATTAAAGCCTTTCTTCTTTTGAACTTTTAATAACTATCAACCAAGGTGCCTTAATGCTTACGTTTATCGTTTAATTTTCTATGGAGATTCTCAACCATCCAGGCCATTCTTGCTTTTTTTCCCTTCAAAACATTTTGCTTCTCATCCAGAACTGAAGAAGCTTCTTGGTTGAGAAAGGAAACATTTTCAAGGAAAAAGGTAAGGAAGTCCAGTTGCCTTTGGAAAAGCACCTTTGGGATAACCAAGACCTGGACGATTGGGAACCTCCATAGACTTTTGAAAGGTTGCAGAAATGGCAGCAACTAGATTTTAAGTTTATCCATTAATTCTAAGGATGGCTAGGATGAGGGACTCCCGAATTCTCTTGCCAATAACTGTTTTGTGTACTTTGGAAGTAGCCAAGGTGCTGTTCTTCCAAGCCGATTTCACATTCTAGAAAGGCCATAATAATTTGCAAAGAACTTAGGAAAGAGATGGGATCAACGGGAGACCTCTGTTGCAAGCAACGGACAACTTTGATTCTAGCACTGAGGCTTTCTTGGGTTCTTGCTGCTCTTTGGCATGGTAATCAAATGTCTGCAAGATGAAAGCCAATCTCAAAGGACACTAAGACCCCCAGCAGTTCAGACATGAGCCTTCTGCTCTATTGCAACTGAGGTTTTGCATAAGTTGGAAGGTCCCCAGCTCTGCCCTTTCTTGAACACCCTGAACACCCACCCTGACTAAAATGACTTTCCGATGTAGGCAGTTCCCACCCATGGACTTTAGATGACGTGCCCATTTTTTCATCTCCCTCTTCTGTTTCTTTGCTGTTTATATTTTTGCTCTTGTAGGACTTCTGTTTTTCCCCAAGGTGTGTTTTCATCAAGATATTGCTCTTTGAAAACTAACCGTGCAGCGTATAAGATCTAAAATAGGTGAAGAATTCTATCTTTTCCTTGAGGACAGCTTATAAATGCAGTAGGAACAGTCCAGGCATTTTCGGTGTATTCCACCCACACAACACGTACTTCTTGCTCCGTGTTTGCGCAAACGAGGGTCCCCTGGGTTCCTCTGCAGATTTAATGACAAAAAGAAGATGCCTTATGTTCTTATTTGTAAAGCACACCGCCCACGCAGGAAAAAGGAAGTCCACTCTGAGAAAGAGCTTCCTTTGAAGGAAACTCCTTGCCACAGGCAGTGGGCTTAGCAAAGCAAAAAACCAGCTTTGCTCTCTGGGTCTGGCTCTGGAGACCCAATGGCAGATTTTCCTATCGAGGAAGCCTCATGTGCTTCTGGGCCGGACGTCGTCCCTTGATTGTCCTCTGCTTGTTCTTCTGGTGCTGCTCTTTCTTCTGGGCTCACATTGCACTTCTCCCCCTAGTTCGCTCGCAGAGCATGATGGCTGTTGATGCAAAAGGCTCCAGCACTTGGCTTCAGCCCCCCAATCCTCTGGAGCGCCCCTTGAAAGCCGGCTGGCTGAAGAAGCAGCGATCCATTGTCAAGAACTGGCAGCAGAGATACTTCGTGCTGAAGGGGCAACACCTGTATTATTACAAGGAAGAGGAAGATCTGAAGCCTCAGGTAACATTAGGGAGGAGGAGGAGGAGGAGGATTCTTGACGTTGGTGCATATTTATGCTGCTGGGGCGATGGGAGAGATGGAAAGGCTGAGGGGGGGGGAAAGGGTTTGGAATCACTGAAAATGCATAGAAATGCACCTTCTACCTTCTGCAGAGGAGGCCAATAAAGTTCTCGTAAGCCAGGAAAAGTATAGAGGGACCTTGAATCGCAACCTCCTACTTCAATTCTAGTTCAGTTTGAAAGAAGAATTGCTGGTTTTTAGCATTGTGGGTGGCCAATTACCGATTGTAAGGAGTTGGAAAGGAAAGAATGCAGGAGAAAGAATTTGATGGGCTGCTCTAATTCTTAGAGCTTTCAAGGCATTTTGCTCTTGCACCAACTCCAGAGAGTTGAAGAAATCACATTTCAGAAGTCTCGACAATGTTGTCTATGTTTTCTATTTTCTGGAGGCAACTTCTGGTCAAAGGAAGAGCTGGCCCATCTCTTTACGAAAGAGCTCCTCAAATGTCTAGTGTTTGTAGAGGATGATTTATCTATGATAAAGTTTCATCCTTCGGCTTAAGAAGGTTCTGGGCTACATCCAGGGTGCAATATTTAGTCAGATTTTTGGAACTGAGATTCATGATCATGCCATTTATTCTCAGTTGATGTTCTCCATGCTACTGGTTGATTCTAGGTTTGGCCTAGCCCTAGACAATCAATTAAGCAAGCTCTGTTGCCCGGGTCTTTTCTTGCAGACTATGCCAAGCATTTGGGCTTCTGAAGTGGAGTTCTGAAATGTAACGAACAAAGTTTCAGTGTTTGAATATCTCATTCTTTCACCGTGATAACCAAAAGCTTGTGACTCTGAAAACAGAGAAGGGGATGGGCACTGGAGTCTGTTCCCTCTCACAAGGAAATGAACCTTTAATTTGAAACGGGCACAAATGCATGCTGTTTGTAACAAAAAGGCCAAAGCCTTTTATTTCTGCACTCCAACATCTTTTTTAAAACATTTAGTGGATCTTTCTGCATTCCCACGATTGCAAGACAAGATCTGTACCCCTTTCTAAAGAGTCACTCTGTGAAGATCCTACCTACCTGGTTTACCCAACCATTCAGTGAAAACTGAATGGTACTGCATTCTAACCACTGTGCCACCACTAGTTTGCATAATTAAGTCAATTCATTTGGAGTCTAGCAGGACCATCCTAATCTGATCCTTATCTTTTTCTTCTCTAATGACCTATACCAGGGGTAGGCAACCTTGGCTCTTTTATGACTCCTGGACTTCAACTCCCAGAATTCCTGAGTCAGCATAGCTGACTCAGGAATTCTGGGAGTTGAAGTCCAGGAGTCATAAAAGAGCCAAGGTTGCCTACCCCTGACCTATACCTTTTCTGGATGGAGGGCAGCTTTCTCAAAAGCTGCTCTTCCTTGATGCCATCCTTACTCCCCTGACCCATGAGTGTTCACCTCTTGTCTCAGGAGAGCAACCAAGTGTTGAAGAACAGAGTCTGCTCAACAGTTGGCACCTCTAACCCAGGGTGCTGGAGGACTTCTTCTCTGCTCTGCTTGAGCATCCTGTTCTCCATCTCCCTCCCCCTCAATCTGCTTCCTGTCTGTAAATTTCCCTTCTCAGAAGTTCACCGGTGCTCTTGCTTTGCCACTGCAGTCCTGCCCCTCAGCTCTGCCACCCAACCCTGCCTGTTTCTGGTTTCCTACAGCTAGGGTAGCTCAACCGCTGCTGCTTTGCCTCCTGCTCTGGTCCATAAGAGCTTGCAAGGAACTTGAGTTTCCTCTGTTCTCAAGTCACAAGGCACATTCCTGGATTGCCCCATGACCGGCCTGATTCATGGGGTCAGCAGGCTCCTTTGTGGCTAAATAGAAAGGGCTGATTCTGGGACTTCCGGTTTTGCGCGGTAGTGACCGGTTGCTGACTTGAGGATTCTTAGCACCCTCGCGGCTAATTTTGCCCTGCCAGGGGACCCTGAATGGGTCTAAGTCGCCCCGGAGAGGCGATGAAGAAAGAAGGGTGCTCCAGCGATTCTGGAATGGTGGCAGCCGTTCTGTTCGACTTGGGGAAAGCCTTCCCTGAAAAGATATAAAAGGAAATCTGCAAGGAACGGTCCAACAAGTTGAGAGGGTGCCTTATTCCTAGTGCATGAAGCATCTTGTCTACCCCAAACGCTGGCAGTGTCCAGATGTTCACATGGATACAAGGTGTTGTCTTGATTTTCTTCCATGAGATGTGCCTTTATATGCTGGCAAATGGACATCACAAATCCATTCACACATCTTTCCTCAAAACTATCCAGCTGCCATTCCTTCATTTTCTCCTTTGTACGCAGCCCAGTGTTACCTTTGCTGTTTTTAATTAGCCTGCTCCACTCCTTGGACTGAACCCTGATGAAGATTTTTTCCTTCAACAATAGTTTCTTGTACATTGCAGAGGGTCAGACTAGGTGATCCTAGGTCCCTTCTGATACCCCAAATCTGATCCCATGTATTTGTTGCTAGATTTATATGTGGTATATTAACATTTAACCATTTTAAAGATTGGTTTAATACATTATACTCTTGGGCTTATTAGATGAATGTGAATTGTGAAATGCTTGCAGTGCATTATGTGTATAATATAATTATGTTTACTTTATAAAAGCAGAGATCACAGTATGGTGAAAGAATGGAGAGCCTTCTGTTTTTGATCTTTTGCAACCGTTTGGCTTTAGGGTTCATTACAACTTCAGGGCTGCACCATCAGAGAAGTGGCTTCTGGGTCCGATGAAGCTGGAAAATTTATCTTTGAAATCATCCCAGGTCAGTAACAGGGAACTGAATTGCACATTGAGCTAGTCCAGATGGACTAGCAAACACATGCTTGGATAAACCGTGATTAATTGCATGGATATGGAAACTGTGCTGAGCAGGACAGCTGACATAACCTTTCTCCTTCTTTGATGACAAAACAGTGGAAAATGATTTCTGTCCTTAGTGTATAATTCAGCAAACTATAATTGTGTGCATAATACGGTTTGTTGTGGTTTGTTTAACTATAAGTGCTTGCACAAGACATAGCTGTAAATCATGGTTTACTAACTACTAAGCCATAACTAAGAATTCTGAAGGGCTGTGAGAGACCAAGTGCTTTGTGGTTCCATCATTTGTCTTGCTATGGGAAAGAGAGAAACTATGGAATTATAGAAGTAGAAATTACTGTGTTGCTGATTATAAAATCAGAAATGAAAAGAATTAGAATAGAATAGAGCTGGAAGGGACCTTGAAGGTCTTCTAGTCAAGAAGGAGAACCTGTACCATCTCAGACAAGTGACCGTCCAGTCTCTTCTTAAAAACCTCCAATGATGGAGCACCCACAACGTCTGGAGGCAAGCTGTTCCACTGGTTAATTGTCCTCACTGTTAGGAACTTTCTCCTTAATTCCAAGTTGCTTCTCTCCTTGATCAGTTTCCAACCATGTTTTCTTGTCCTGCCCTCTGGTGCTTTGGAGAATAGTTTGACCCCCTCTTCTTTGTGGCAGCCCCTCAAATACTGGAATAACTGCTATCATGTCACCCCTATTTCTTCTTTTCTTTAGACTAGCCAAACCTGAGTCCTGCAGCCATTCTTCATATGTTTTAGTCTCCAGGCCTTTAATCATCTTAGTTGCTCTTCTCTGAACTGTTTCCAAGGTCTCAACATCTTTTTTGTAGTATGGTTAAAGCAGGAGACCCTATGCTATTCCAGACAAATGGCTATCTAATCTCTTCTTAAAAACACCCAGTGATGGAGCACACCTACAACTTCTGAAGGGAAGCCATTAATTGTTTCCACTGTCAGGAAATTTCTCCTTAGTTCTAGGCCCATCTATTCCGTGCGGCCGGCCTGGCGTAGTTTGATTATGTTTTAGTGGGGGTTTTGTATGGGGTACTTTTAGAGCAGGCCTGTTATTTAATTTAATTTTAGAACAGAAACTTGTGTATATTTATCGTGGTTTTTATTATCACCTGTTCACCGCCCTGAGTCCCGTAAGGGAGATAGGGCGGTATATAAATTCAATAATAATAATAATAATAATAATAATAATAATAATAATAATAATAATAATAATAATAATAATAAGTAGTAGTAGTAGTAGTAGTAGTAGTAGTAGTAGTAGTAGTAGTAGTTGGATCTCTCCTTGATAAGTTTCCATCCGTTACTTCTTGTCCTGGCTTTCTATCTTCCTCTTTCTTTATATCTCAACCATTTTTTTGTATTTATAAACACTTAGGCCCCTTCTTTAGAAAGTGTACTGTGCGGATTTTTTCTTGCTGTGAAATATATCTTAAAAGTCATCTGTTTCCCCCTGTTTACAGGGCTCTCAGCAGACCAAACTCGAAATGGACCAGACTCCTTTGTGCTCATGGCGAATTCTCAGGCTGACATGGAAGAATGGGTCAAGCTGCTCCGAAGAGTGGTTGGCTCCCCATTAGGAGGTAAGTACAACCAGAATTATATAGGGTACACCCAAATAACGTCTAGTCTGTGTCCATAATATCCACACCAACTGGACAGGCCAGAGAATGGATTGCTTTGGATTGCCAGGACAAGAATTTAGGGCAAAAATTTCCAGGGATGAAGTCAAGGGAAACGTTGAAAGTTAGGATCTCATACAAACGTTTAGGATTGCAAGGCATCTTTGCAGTACAATATCTGTCTCAAGGAGTCAGATGGGCTGATTTTGGAAATGTGTTTTGCATAAAATAGCAGGACCTGGTTAAAAGTAGCTACCTGGAAGAGGGCTTGATCTGACTTTTAACTTTTTTCAGGAAATGGGACTTAGTTTAATTCTTAGATTTCCTTTGAGCTTCTTCTGTGGTTCATTCCTGCTTTGTGGGGGAAAGCCTGAGAATTATTTTCTGCAACTCTCTGATTCATAAATAAGCTTGATACAAAGGGAGGATTGGAAAATTACAAACTTTAATCACGGCAGCATAGTCAGGGCCAGCCTGTGTGCTGCTTGCTTCATCTAGCAATAAATACAGATGGATGTTTATTTAGGGAGGGCATCAGCAGCCATCAAACAGGTAGAATGGGATGAGCTGGGAAGTGATTAAAGGACAGAATATCAAGCATAGAGGGACAACATTCAAACTCTCTGGTGCTTAATTTTCCTTTCTGCCCTAATAGATTATGTGGCTTCTACATTTAGTGGGTTCGCCTGCCTCAATTTATCCTGTTTCTGGAATGGTATGCTATGGAATGGAATGGAGCTGCCAAAAATGCCAATGCAGTCCTAGGCTGCATCAATAGAGGGATAGTATCAAGACTAGAGGATTCCAGAATTTGATGATATTTAATTTTTTATTTTATTTAGTTATTTATTAGATTTTTATGCTGCCCATCTCACTGATATAATGGCTCTGGGCAGCTTACAACATACTTTTATTATTTCACTATTAGTATACTTGAAATTTTTAACAGGGCTTCATATAAGGATTTGGTCTGCAGAATTGAAAAAGTATTTGAAAACTCCTTCCTTCCTTCCTTCCTTCCTTCCTTCCTTCCTTCCTTCCTTCCTTCCTTCCTTCCTTCCTTCCTTCCTTCCTTCCTTCCTTCCTTCCTTCCTTCCTTCCTTCCTTCCTTCCTTCCTTTCTTCCAGTGGTCTTTGGACAACAGCTGGGGGACACCATGATGTATGAACAGAGATTTGGACAGCACCAGGTTCCCATCTTGGTGGAGAAGTGTGCAGAATTCATCAGGAAGAACGGACTGATGGAAGAGGGCGTTTTCCGACTCCCTGGCCAAGACAATTTGGTGAAGAAACTGCGGGATGCATTTGATGCTGGCGAGAGACCCTCATTTGACCAGTAGGTGGCGCATTTCTCAAGCTTATGATGGTCGCTGTGTCCCCCCCCACACACGTGATCCCCTTTTGCAACCTTCTGACAAGCAAAGTCAATGGGGAAGCCAGATTCACTTAACAACCGTGTTACTAATTTAACAACTGCAGTGATTCACTTAACAACTGTGAAAAGAAAGGTCATAAAATGGGGCAAAACTCACAACAAATGTCTTGCTTAGCTACAGAAATTGTGATCGTAAGTTGAGGACTACCTGTAGATTAAAATGGAACAATTACTTCCTGCAATGTCTGACTCATTCTATTTTTATTTTTTTACAGAGATACAGATGTGCACACTGTGGCTTCTTTGCTCAAACTATACCTACGAGAACTGCCTGAGCCGGTCATCCCTTGGAGCCAGTACGAGGGTTTTCTCTTGTGTGGTCAGCTTCTAACGTCTGAGGAAGGCAAGGTATTAAAATCACACAGACTTCTCAAAATGCGACTGATGATCCTCCTGAAATGGTTCCTCCCACTCTGATAATGTCATGGGATCGCCCACCACGGGGTCCCAGAGAGAGGCCAAAGTCCATCTCCCCATCGCTCCAGCTTGGCCACAGGTTGAACTCTAGTAATTTAAATAAAGTGGAATTTCATGGCAGCCATCGGTGCATATCATGTGACAATTAAAAACCATCCTTGTATTCTTCTAGGGTCACCCACAGCTAGTGAAGCAGCTGGCACATTTACCCCAGGACAACTATAACCTTCTCAGTTACATCTGCCGGTAGGTTCTTCTTTAAAAACTTTGCTGTTTTCAACCAAAGAGCAAAACACGGGTTCATAATGGGCTGTTGATTTAGGTTAGGTTTCTGCTTCTTGCCCCAGTTTCTATCCCTTTCTTATTTGTTCCTCCCTTGCAAGTTATGTGCATCCAGGCAATGACATGGACTCTTGATTTCAATTCTAACAGATTCCTGCATGAAGTCCAGCAGAGTTCCGACACCAACAAGATGAGTGTGGAGAATCTGGCAACTGTGTTTGGTGTGAACCTCATCCGACCCCAGATGGAAGATCCAGTGACTATTATGAGAGGTGAAACTGGAACTCCATCCAGCCACCTCCTTCTCTGTCGTCCCCTTTTTCTGTTGCCCTCCATCTTTCCCAGCATTAGGCTCTTCTCCGGTGAATCCTTCCTTCTCATTAGGTGGCCAAAGTATTTGAGTTTCAACTTCAGGATCTGGCCTTCTAAAGAGCAGTCGGGGTTGATCTCCTCTAGGACTGACCGGAAGTCAAGGACTACCTGTAACCTAAAACTTTGGGTAGCACAATCCACCTTTGGGAGATCTCCTTCCATAACCAGTTTCTCCAGACTGGCCAGAGGGGTTGTTCCCCGCTCTCAGAAGCCTGACTAGGGGAACTGAAGCTGTGAGCCTCTTCCATTTACATGCCAGCTCTGTTGTGTGTTAAAAGCAATGCCTGTTGTGCTTTCCTCGTTTCTCCTGCAGGGACTCCCCAGATCCAGAAAGTGATGACGACCATGATCAGTGACCACGAGAAGCTCTTTCCAGCAGCCAAGGATGTGAGGCCTCCTCCGCCTCCCTCAGAAAGCAGCTCCAAGAAAGCTCCAGTGCTACGCAGCTCCGTTGGCTGGGATGCTGTACAAAGGCCATCGATGGCCTGGAAGGAGAATAGGAGCCTGCTGCAAATTGTGAGTGTCCGCCCGGCTTTTTCATCCTGCGGTTCACCTGGGTGAGGGCATCTGCCCATGTAAGCAAAAACGTCATTTTGTACCCGATTGAAGTCATGTACAAATTAAAAACCCCTTATTTCTGAGATTTCAGTTCCTGCATTTGGCCTACAGGTGGCGCTCAAAGAAGCTAGCAAAAATAAGAATGGTGAAATCAAGCTACTATTTTATAACTGCTTGGAGCATGAAAACTTAAGACACCCACAGCCCCTGAAGCCCTGCCTCCAAATAAACCTAAATAAACAAATATGTTTCAACTGACTGGTGCAAAAATAACAAAGGAAGCTAGTTGGGTATAGGTTTCCATGGACATGTCTGGAAAAAAAAAGTTTTTAATGCCACATCCTCTTGGTGTTGCCCTTGAGTCCTCGCAAGGCAGCTTAAAGTCACCTTTAGCTGTTGGCCATTTTAAGATAAAGTTCGCTTCCCTTTTGATACAGTTTTGGCCACAGATACGGTTGAACTGGCTCCGTCAACAGTGGATTTTGAATGGGATTTCCCAGCTCCCAATGGCAACTTGAGACTACTTCACTTGCTTTGCTTCCCATCCAAGAAGCTTCTTCAGTTCTAACTGACTAGTGGGGAATGGAAGGATTTAAAGGGATAGTTGCGGGAGTGATTAGATGCCCCTTTGGTGTTAAACGTAGACAGCCTCTTCCATAAGTGTCAATTGGGGCATGAAAATCAGCCGGGCTGCTTTGTTGTGTCTTAATAGGGCTTCATATTCTCTCATATTCTTGGTTTTACTTTCAGAAAGATGATCTCGAAGCTTCTAGCTCTGAATTAAGTGATGGTTTGGCTCCATCAGCAGAAGATAAAGAAGAACCTCAGTCTAGGGATGCTCTGGAGACACGGACTGCGCGGAAGAGGACTCAGACACTTCCAAACAGGAAATGCTTTGAGAGCTTTTCTTCCAACAGGCGAAACCAAAACATGGACAAAACAGACATTTTCAGTAGCAACTTTTGGTCATCCTCATCCTCTTCCTCTTCCTCCATGGTCCAGCCCAGTCCTAATTGTCCCTCAGGAGGTCACAAAAGAACTTTGTCTCATGGAATTTCTAAACTTTTCGGCTTCACACAAGCCTCAGACTCTGGCAGTCTACGCAGTTTGGGGCAGGGTCCTACAAGGGAGGCTGACAACAGTTCTTCAGGCCAACTAAGAGAGGAGTTTGGACCATGTTTACAAATGAATGACTCTCCCAGGTCTAAAGAAAATGGCACTACGATTCTGGAGCTCTCATTTGAGGAAGACAACTTATATCCAGAAGACCCTGAACTGCTTAGGAAGATGATTGCGGAGCTGAAACAGGAGCTGATGGCACAGAAAAACAGCCATGAGGAGCAAATTAGAAGGTAATTAGAATCAACCTTGGTTGATTCCGTTTCTTTCTCCAACCAACTAGCTCTACAGGTAGACCTCAACATATGACTGTTCATTTAATGACCATTCAAATTTATGACAATGCTGAAAAAAGGGCAGGCATTTTGGTGCAGGGTCTTAATTTGGATTCCAGTAGGGAACAAGTTCTGGACTCCAGGGCTCTTCCAAGTCTATCATCCCATCCCAGCCAACTGGTCGTCCATGCATCTCTTTAGGGCAGCGCCCCCCAACCGTTTCTATACCCCGCCCCCCTAGAATACTTCTGATATATTCTCACACCCCTTACAAAAAGTTCGAAATAACAGCAACGAATTATGCATATACACTATAATTTTGAAAATCCAAGTTTTTGCACCCCCTGGAATATCATCTCGCACCCCCAGGGGCTGCAAGCACCTCCGGTTGGGAACCCCTGCTTTAGAGATTGGGAAGAAGTTGTTTCTAAAAGTGACTTCTTGCATCCTTCCCCATTCTGTGCCTTGGCAATGCTGGCTGGGAATTATAGGAGCTGTAGCCTAATTCATTTGCAAGGTGCTGTATTTGGGATACTCTATGTTCAACCAAACCTGAGTTACAACTTTGGACAGAGATTTTAGTGAATTGCTGCTTGTTTTAGCACAGAAGGAAACCATGGTTTATGTGGGAAACTAGGCCTGACTCATCAGTATCACTCATCAGTATCATGTTTCTTCTCTGAAGAAATGGACAGGACCCATGTAGCATTCAGAGAAGACTGGTTCACACATCATGCAAAGCCACAATGTGGTTTGGTTTCAGCTTAGCAGAACCTGTGGCTCCACAGTCATTATAATGTATATGTAAATCAAGCCACTGTGGGCAGGTTCAACAAACCATGGTTTAAAAATTCCACTTTAACATTATATGTGAACCAGATAATTCAGTGACCTAATGCAATGTAAGAGAGATGTCATTCATTTCACTAATGTGTGTGTGTGTGCTTGCAATATGTGAGGGCATGATATTAAACAAGAGTGTAAGATTAGTATATTACGTTTTGCAGAGGCAGCAAAACTGGATGCACTGAAAATTAGAGATTTTAAATGCCATGTTTTGTTGTGCATTTTGCCGGTGTTGTCAGAATGGGTCCCCATTGCCCAATTCCACTTGAGAATCATTATGCCATCTAGGTCCAAGACCCAGGAGGTGACATTCTATGAGTCAAATTGTCTACTGAGCACGGGTGGTGGCCCCAGCTTTTCTGCCTCTGTCCTCCTCTCCACACAGGAGTAAGGGACTCGCTCCTTTGAATCCTGGTTTGATATCCTTTGCTGTTCCTTTTGCAGCCTTGAGAAGGAAAACTTTGAAGTCTGGACCAAAGTGGTGAGGCTTAATAAACAGATTGAAGAAGAAAAGGCTAAATCTGCAGAGTTGGAATCTGAGCTCCAGAACCTTAAACATTCCAGGGAGGTCAACGAGGAGAACCAACACCACGAAGACTTGTTGAAGTCCACCGGTCAGTTGCCCACAAGAATTGAGCAGAGGACAGAGTGTGCAAGCCAGCTGTGATTCCTTTCTGTCAAAGGACTGTTGCACTTACACTTGTGTAAGTCGGTACAGAACCCCTGGCGGGTTCACCAAGATGGTTGCTTCTGGCGGCTCTGTGTATAATACTTTTTCAATTGAGAAATTTTATTCCCGTTTATGAATGATAAAAACAAAAACAAAGGTGTCTTAAATAAGTAAACTTTATGTTTTTCTGTTCTGTTCTTTGCATTCCGTATGATCTCTGTTTCTGGCAGTGCAGTGCAGAGTTCAGACCTTTCATAATCCTTCCAGACATTTTTTGGCCCTGTGACCCTGCTTGATAGAACCAGCCACTGAGTGGGCTCAGAAGAGAAAAATATAAGGAAGCTATTTTGGCATCTGACTGGCCTGAGATTTGCAAGGGAGAAACAGTGATAAATCCACTCCAGCTTTTACGTGCTCCGCCATTTGTGATCATTTATGGTTATACAGGTGGTTCTTGGATGCCAAAATGACATTGGTGGTTTGGCGTTAGAACTCTTGGTTAGGTTGTAATTGGGGTGCCGTCTGTTTTCCCTTTCCAGAAAGTAAGCTGTCTTGAGCTGCTCCTGCTTATCCTGACAGTGAGAACAATTAATCGATGGAACAGCTTGCCTACTGGAGTTGTGGGACTCCATCGCTAGAGGTCTTCAAGAAAAGATTGGACAGTTATTTGTCCGGGATGGAATAAGGTCTCCTGCCCTTGAGTAGGGGGTTGGACCAGAAGACCCCCAAAGTTCCTTCCAGCCCTAGAATTCTATGCTCTATGTTCTAAGCTGGCCAGGGAAAACATAAGTCCTATATCAAGCTCCAAGCTTGGTTCACGAAAGTGTCTTTGTATTTATCTTGGCAACAGTGCTGAAGTTCATCATTAGTTGAACACCCCTCAGAAGGATCAAACCAAAAAATAAGTGCTAGAAAATAGCAGCCTGATGTAACAGCCTCATGTATCTGATGCTTCTCCAGAATGATTTGAGAGGCAATAGAAATCTATAAACATCGAACCAGTTCAAGGGGGTTAGCAACGGCCCTCTGTGTGAGTGTTGGTTGTGGGCATTTGGTTCTGTTGAACACAGGAGCAGAAGATTTGACATCGAATGGCCAAGTTTGATTTCACATCTACTCCAAAGAGCATCCTGAATGTCTAGCAAATTGTCAGCACATATTCATCAATTCAAGGCATTATCTAGAAGTCATTTCACCAGTGCTTTGCCAATTCTCTCTTCTGAGATAGTTTTTTTAATTCAGTCTAAAGTCTTGCCATGTTCTAGTGGTGTTTCATTAAAGTATTAACTAGGACTAATCTGCTTAATTTTGGGGTTTTTTTAAAGATCAGGTCTAAAACTAGATCTAAATCTCAAACGTGACAACTTTAAGATGTGTGGACTTCAATTCCCAGAATTCCCCAGAATGTGGCTGGCTGGGGAATTCTGGGAGTTGAAGCCCACATATCTTAAAGATGCCAAGGTTGAGATACACTGGTCTAGATGCTATTTGGTGATAGCATTTAGGTTTGTCCACAAAACCACAAAAAGTTGAATAAGAATAGAGAGTAGCCTGGAATAGTATACAGTAGACCCACAGCTAAATCTGTTAAATTTATTTGCCGCCTACAGTAGCCTCCATGGTGAGATAGAGGCAAATAAATGTAACAAATAATAAGAGAATGCTAACAGCCGATGCAAGATCAGTGACTTAGTGAGGACTTTTCTACCAAGAGCGTACAATACCTTTCACCAGGTCAAATAAAGCCTAACTTCTAGATATCCATCAAAGAGCAGGGATAGGTTTGCTCAGTTTCTGCAAACTGCTAAATTTCAGCGAAGGTGAATCTGGGACATAAACCACTTTCTCTCTGTCCATGTGATCTGTACATGGAAGGAGATATTTCTTGGTGCAACCCCTGACATCTTCCATCAATCTGTCCAGTCCTCTTTAAAAGGCACGTAAAAGACATGACAAGTAACATTCCACATCAAGTCCTTGTCACTTTGCATAACTGGGCAGAGCAGTGGCTGAGTATAAACTTTTGGGAGGAACCCTCCCCCCCCCCAGTCCTGGGGAGGAAAAAATCTCACACCCTGCTTTGCTGCTATTTCCCAAAAAATATCCTTCAGTAGAACCATTCACATTTATTATGTACATATTTTTTTTATGACGTCGATCAGCTTGGCTGAGCAGTAAAGCGCTCTGAAGCAGGGCTAGTGGGGTCAGTTTCGCATAAATGGAAGATTCCTCCACTTCCTTAGTTAGGGGCTTCATTGCACAAAGCGGGATTGGTCTCTTCGGATGAGTCTCCACCAGCGAAAAGGCCTGAGGGTTGCTTGAAGCTGACGGAAGGAAGGGCTTGCAGGCTTGAAGGTCAAGTCAGTGGAAAATTGAGCTGCTAATGGTTATATTTTTAGAGGGGGCATTGACCTTCCTCAAACATGACATCTGGAAACATCTGCTGAGGGATGAAAACATGCCCTCTGACTTGATGCCTGGACAGCCGATGCTGGCTTAGGAAATGGGAATAGCTGCTGAAAGAGGGCCCCACTCGCTCCTGAATTATCTGTTTTTTCTACTATATGGGTTCCTTTTACAATTTATTTTTATCTAGTTTATAAGAACAGCTATAATTCCTCCCTCCCTCCCTGTCTGCCCTCTCTCCCCTTTCCCCTCCCTCCCTCCCTCTACCATGAACAATAGTTTGGAGTGAAAAGGTGAAGCTTCCATCTAATCAATATATTATACGCTGCTCTATGACCACAATAAAGGTTTGATTTATGATTTCTTTGTGCATCCTCAGACATAACTTCTTGCCACGGCCACCAATGCCATTTTTCTCCATTGCTTTTGTCCATTGAAGACCATGGCCTGTTATTTCATTTTACTTTCACCGCTTCTACAGATTTCACATGCTCAACAAGACTTTGGATGGGGCTCTTTCTCTGGGAAAGGCCCAAGAGAGTTGTCTCCCTTTACAATGGCAGTAGCACTACACCTTCAGTGTGTGTTTGTGCTTTGCAAAATAAGGCAAGCAAAATGATACTTCATTAGAAGAGAATGACCAGGGGTGACAGGATAGGAGTGTTCCAGAGAAGAGGGGGTCAACCTATTCTCCAAAACACCAGGAGGCAGAACAAGAAGCGATGGATGGAAACTAATCAAGGAGAGAAGCAAACTGGAACTAAGGAGAAATTTCATAACGGTGAGAACCATCAACCAGTGGAACAACTTGCCTCCAGAAGTTGTGGGTGTTTTATCACTGGAGGTTTTCAAGAAGAGATTGAACAACCATTTGTCCAGAATGGTATAGGAGCTCCTGCTTTAGCAGGAGGTTGGACTAGAAGACCTCCAAGATCTCTTCCAACCTTGCTATTCTAGGTTCTATGTGAATTCATCAAAAACACAACCACTGGGGATTCCAACTTAGAACTAAGGAGAACTGACCTAACAGTGGGAAAGACTAATCAATGAAACAGTTTGCCTCCAGAAGTTGTGGGTGCTCCATGGCTGGAGGTCTTCAAGAAAAAAAATTGTCCGGGATGGAATAAGATCTCCTGCCTTGGGCAGGGAGGTGGACTAGAAGATCTCCAAGGTCCCTTCTAGCCCTGTGATTTATTTATTTATTTATTTATTATTTGAATTTATATCCCGCCCTTCTCCTTGCGGACTCAGGGCGGCTGACAATCAATTAAAAGCACCACTAACAATCACAAGTTAAAATTAATTAAAATGAAATGATGATTCTGTGTTGGACAGCAAGGTTTTTGTAGACTTCTCCTATTCATTTGGCTTACCTGGATGGCTGCGAGGCTTTTCTCTCTTCTCTCTATTTCTCTCTTCTTTCATGCACCCCACTCAGACAGGTCTCTCCTCCCAAGCAACCCCCTTGCTTCACCCCTTGATAGATCTGCCTGCAGAAGCCCTAACCTTTGTGGCTCTCTCTGGGGGCACTTGCATGCACTGGTTTACTCACCACTCTATCATCTGCAGCAGCTGGTTCAGCTTGTGAAAATTTGACTTATCGTGTGTAAAGACATGATGTGATATTTAGGCCCTCTTGACAAAATGTACTGATAAGAAGGACGGGAGGAAGGGAATGTGGCTTTAATCTGCGGCTGCTGCCTGCTGGCGACCGTTGAATCTCCTGAGCTATTTTCAGCCCTGCGACTTTCTCAGGCCCACCCGCTGGGGAGGGGGCAAAATTGTGTGTACACATGCAAGGGGCTACATTAGTGAAATTGACACACACGCAGGAGAGAGTGCAGTGATGAATTAACTTAAATTCCCAACTGTCTTTCAAGTGTCTCTCCTTCCTTGCTCTGGTGGAGAATTTGTTCCCCATCCATGTTTCTCTACATTTCCTTCAAATTTGAAATAGATTGGGAAGCTTAATGTTTTAGATCAAGCCCAGTCCAAAAATACTCTGGAATTTCTGCAACGGCCATCAATAGTCAGACAGAGATAAACGTATCATTCAAAAGATATAATCAAAAGTCCAGGAAGGAAACAACATAGAATAGTTTCCCTCTAGCAACCAACACCCAGAGAAGCAGGAAACTATCAGGGAAGAAATAATAACTTAATCAAGGAACCAGCAAGGAGAAAACAAGACACACCCTCCCCGTGTTTCTGAATCTCAGCAATTTAAGAGAGAGTAACAACTCCGACTCCTCCAATGAACGAGGATTAGCACTGATGATGTTACCTAGTTGGGTAATAAAGATCTCCAAAATCACAACTAAGCTCAAATAGCACTGAGGATCGCATAGTTCAACCTTGAGCTACAAATATTCTCTTCTATCAAATGAGGATTTAAAATGGGGCATTAAGCATGGGGGATGTACACAGTTATTTCTGGTAGTGCTTAATGGGCCGTCGCTCAGTCTTAAAGATGAGATTTAAATATTTGCCAACAGATAAAAAATGGCTTATGGGACGAAGAGAGTTTTGATTGAAATATTAGAGGAGGTGTTAAGCTATGGAAAGTGTTTATACTTGTCTTGGTGAAAGGCAAAGTTATTTTTTTTCTGTATATTTGCTTTTCTTTTTTTAATATATTTTCTTTTTTCTCTATTTTGCACTTTGTATTTTTTTTCTTGATTATATTTTTCTTAGTTTGTACAGAACTAGTTTTTCATCTTCATAGTTTTAAAGACCAATGAAATTATTATCAAACTGTGGTCTGGGGACTCTGGGGGACACCAAGACCTTTTCAGGTCACACGGAAAGTTAAATGCATCAATATTTTAAAAAATTCTCAAGGTTAATTTCCAATACACTAAATCTCAATAGATATAACCCACGTAAACATTTAAACTAAATTTGTGTATCAGTGATTGCATGACTTCTGTAAATGCCATATGCTAAATAAATAAAATAACCCATGTAAGACGAAGATCTTTGGTGTTTCCAATCACTTGTAAGAACGTAAAGGGGTAGAATCATAGAATCCTAGGCTTGGAAGGGACCTTGGAAGTCTTCTAGTCCAATCCTCTGCACAAGACAGGAGATCTTATTGCATCCTGGACAAGTGGTGGTCCAATCTTTTCTTGAAAACCACCAACAATGGAGCACCCACACGAAGGCATGTTCTTCCATTGATTAACTGTCCTCACTGCCAGGAAAGTTCTAGGTTGGATGTCTCTTTAATGAGCTTCCATCCACTGCTGCTTCTTCTGCCCTCAGGGGCTTTGGAGAATAAGTCAACCCCTCTTCTCTGTGGCAGCCCCTCAAGTACTGGAGGACAGCCATCGTGTCACCCCCCTCATCCTTCTTTTCGTTAGGCTAGACACATTTAGTTCCCGCAACCATTCACCATACAATTTATCCTTCAGACTTTGTTGCTCTTCTCTGCACGCTTTCTAGGGCCTGAGCATCTGTTTTTGGTCCTGAGACCAAAATGTTTTAGAACTGTCAGGCTACGTCATCCAAAATCCAAAGGCGTCTAGGAGCGCCTTTTCTGACTTACAGATTTTATAAAGTGGCAAAAGCTTTTGGGAACTGCAGCAGAAGCTGATGCCTTTTAATCAGATTTGTGAGTTGCAAAAAGTGGTTTCAGACTTTGCCCCTGTTGCTGTGGCAAGAAAGAATGTCACACACATCCATGTACAAATCCTCTCCAGAAAGTTAATCCCATGATCAATCACACGTGGCAGGGAGGGTGAAGGTTAAGCCAAGGATTAGCCAAGCTTTTCATCTCAGATTCCAGGTGCAATATTTACTTGAGGGAGAAGGAGGGTTGCGTTTCTTCTGCAGGTTTTAACTCTGCTTTGCGGTGGGTGGTGACAGCTCAGGAAATGGGTTCCCACAATAAATCTCTGCAAGCAGTGATTGAAAATACTCTAATCTCTGCCAAGATAAGGAGTTGCTACAGCAAAGGACAACATAAACCTGGAAGTGATGGATGCCGGGAATGCTAGATGGCTGTTGAGCCCCTCTGACCATGCTCGGCCGTCCAGAGATGCCCCAGCATTTAAACCTTTTTCCTTTAACTCAACACACACTTTTCAACACCATCTTTGGCTTGCACCCTGCTTAACCTCATCAGCACACAGCCCAGTGACACTTGGGTTGGAAGTGAGAATGGAAAGATAGCGACAATTTGAAGCAGCCAGCATGCTCTCGGGTGCAGTCCTGCCTTGGAGAGGGACAGTTGCATGACACCTCTTTTCCTCACCCGTCCATAATTCATGTTGGGAGAGGTCCCATTCATAAACAGCCATCATGCAAAACCATCTCCTATGACAGGAGTGAGGATCCCCGTCCCCACCAGAGGCAGATGATTCGAAAGCCGCCCTAGAACCATCTCCAAAAGGACTGATTTTGTCCTTCTGTTCTTTTGTCCTTCTGTTCTTCTGACTGAAATTGGGATACATTCCCAAGGTATAGAGGTGTGTGTGTGTGTGTGTGTGTGTGTGTGTGTGTGTGTGTGTGTGTGTCCCTTCTCACCCCTCTGAATGGTCTGTGTCTTCCTCAATCTCAAATCTTCTACCAGAGGCCTGGGACTTTGAAGATTCTCTGCAGTGTTCAGATGTTCCTAGCAGTGCACTCTTTTGGACAGAGAGCCCTGATGCTGTTCCTGGGATCCCTTGGAGTCACTATATGCAGGTAGTCCTCAGCTTAAGACCACAGTTGGGAATACAATCTCCATTGCTAAGCAAGGCAGTTGTTACCCGAGTGTTGCCTGATCCTTCATCCCTTAGCAGTGCCTGTAAGGTCTGCAAATTTTACTCCGTTCTGTTACAAAAAGCCAAATGCTTCCATTTGTGATTCCCTCATATTTATAGTCAAAGCAGCAGCTCTACTTTGGATCAGACTCTGAGTCACACTGGGCAGCTTTTTGTTAGCTCCTACTCCAAGTAGTTATGCCCTGATCTAGTCCTGATCGGATGCTGAGGTGCTGATGCTGACACCCTGAGAGCAGCAAAGCTTGTAAGGGTACTGGAGAATAAACTGCATGATGGATGGTTGAGGGAGCTAGCTAGGTCTAGTAGTCTAACAAAGAGAAGGATTGGCGGGGACATGGTAGCTGTCTTCCAGTACTTTCTACAGAGAAAAAGGGGTGACTTATTCTCCAAAGCACCTGAGGGCAGACAAGAAGTAAGAGGTGGTCATTTACTGAATAAATATTATTGATTGATTGACATCTAAAGTGCGTAGATTTCTCCACAGACAAATACGATATAAGTTAGTATCTGTGGCAAAAGCAGAAACATCTGGAGCAGACGGGAGGTTGAGGGTTCCCGCAGCAGCTATCCTGAAGAACGAAGGCTCACCTTAGCAGTGAGGATTGTGAGGGATCCCTCCAAAGCCTGTTGGAGACTTGTGCAGCAATTGTGGCCAAAATTGGCCTCAAGACACAGTCAGAAGTCTTGCCAGAATTCACTTTATGTTTGAAAATGGGATGTTTCCAGCAAATTTGGAATATGGGGGCAAACTCACCAGCTCTCTGTTTTTGGTGTATGAAAAAAATATACACTCTCTATATTCAAGGACCTTAGGCTTGAAAGTGATTGTATGCTAGATGTCACTGTATTTTGTATTAAATTGTGAGATGAAAAAACAAGGACAAGTTAACATATTTACAAAGACAATGAAGAAGAAAGTTCATTGAAATTGGGGGATGATATTAGCATCAAAACGGTTCAATATATATAGGATTACCCAAGTGTGTTTGGTAAACATACAAGCACAAAAATAAAACATTTTATATTCTACATTATATTACAAGGACAACAGTCAATAAATAGATCAATAAATAATGGCTGCAGGGACAAAGGTTAGGTGGGTTTCAGCAAGTCCTTGGCAAGTGCTTTGCATGAGAATTCTCCTGACGGTTGGTGATCTCAAAGACCAGCTTTTTTTTTTCTCTCTCTCATTCTCTCTCTGAGGAGATAGCTTTTCCTTAAAAGTATAAAGCAGTGGTGGGGCTTAGTACAGTAAGCCCACAAAGGGCTGGAGACACAACGTCAATTACACTTTCCAAAGAATCTGACCAATTTCCAGCTTAGTATAAATAAAGCATCACCAGGCCTATTTTTTCTCAACTCCAACACCTTCTTATCGCAATGATTTGCCAGAGAGGAGTGGTGGAAACTTGACATGTGACCTCCATTGTTCACATGGGGAACTGTCTCATGAATTGACAGCCCCTTTCGGTCCAGAGTCTTGAAATTTCAGCACAAAAAAATCCTCCCCTCCCTCCAATTTTAACGGTGATCAAAAGAGCAATCCGCCTCAAGCAGCCAGATTCCGAATTGCATTTGTTTCATTGGTGCGATGCAATAGTGATCAAGTAGGACATTTATGCAAGAGATGAGTAGGGTTTGTATCATGTGCGCCCCAATCCAAATGGCATGTCCAAAACGATTAGAGGCAATTACTTTGAGGGATGTCTTGGTTATGCTATCTGAAGGGCTCCACTAAACTGACTATGCTGAACAATCCTGAGAGGGATGAGGGAGTAGCAAAGAACTTTCCAGAAAGAGATTTGGAAGGCAGAGACTTTCTGAGCAATATCAACCGCTAGGCCAGTTTCTTTTCTGAGTAAGCAAGGAAATAAGGAAAACATTATGACTTAGATTCACACAACAGTTTGCTTTTGGCTTAGTGTGTTGCATGAATTGTGGTTTATTTAATAAATCATGGTTAATAAAACCATGGCTTAGTAAGCGGTATGAACCCCACATGTCACAGCTTAGAAAAGTTTTCTTGAATTTCTCCCAGGGAAAGTCTAAGGGGAGCATTTGACTGCCCCTCTGTTGGAAAGAAAAGCTACTGGCTGGGGTTTTAGGGCAAGAGATCACCACTAAGAAGGGCAACGGCTTCCCTCCAGAACGAGTTTCCTCTCCAAGGGACAGTAGAATGGAACTGGCAGCGTTATCATACTAGGCAGTGAAGACAGAAATCAAAAAATGCTGGAGAGTTCTTGGAGGTAATTCAGTAAAGCAGCCATATTTTTTCCAGAGGTGTGATAAGAAATGGCAGCTTTGGGACTTTTGCTATGTTTTCTGACAACTGTTGGCTCAGTTGTAGCGGCCGGAAATTAGAAAGAACTGAACAGGATTGCTTAAGTGGTAAAATGTCTGGGATGAACAACTGAAGAGGAAGATCTGTGATGTTTGGGGAGCTCTAGCTGAAGCTAAGGAGATGCCTCTGCTTGCTGCTGTCTAGGAGGCCAATTGTCTCCTCCCATCCCCAGCCTCCCTTTGCTCCAAGCCATCGTTCCTAAACTGTTGCCTGTCTCCAATGTCCCTTTTCCTTGTTCAATGAATTGACTGCATCTCAAAATTGTTCAGATGGAACCATGAAATCCCATCAAAGCCAAAAACAACGTGCAAGAGCCCCCTCTCCTGCTACTATCTGCAGCCACATTCTGAGACGGACATGCCCTCATAGTTTTGCTTGAAGGTGACTATCCCTTTATCCAAGAAGAGCAACGAGATGGGGTCTAGCTTGGTCGGGACGCAACAGGCAGGAGAAGCTCTCTGGGGATCATTCAAATGAACGGACGTCTGGACCATGGCATGGGTGGTCGACTGGCTGCCATCCAGAGGAAAGCTGCAGGCTCCTTTGCACTGGTAGGCATCGTAGCCAGCAGGTGCAATGATCCAGGAATCCCAGCCAATCTCCTTGAAATCCACATAAAGAGATGTCTTCTTGCAGGTGCTTCCCTTGGCATTCCTCCTGATCCTGGACGTTGAGTCATAGATGATGTTGGACCTGATCTGGAGCAGATCATTGGGGCTGCTGGAGAAATCTTGCAAATCTAAATCTGGCCACTCTTCCGCCTGCTCGTGCTCCATCATCTCCTTCAGCTCATAGATCTCCTCTTTCTTGGCATGACTGTGATCGTCTGAAAACACAATTAACAACGGCTTGTGTTTGGTCTCCAAATTGATGTCTATGCCTCTGTGTCTTCCTGGGTTGGGATTCTCTCCCCCTCGGAACTCCACCTGCACCTCTAGCCGGTGAGTGGTGGAGTCAGAGTGATGCCACTTCCTGATGGCTTCTGTCACTTCGAATGTTTTCCATTCATTGTCAGTGCTGTAAATAAATCTGGACGCCAGCACTTGCAGCTTCCTCTCGTCTCCCTCTTTTCCTCCTCCGTGTTCGCCCTCCAGCACTTCCACAACGGTGATCTTCCTGTCGAGGTTTTCATAGAGGGGTCTGTCCTCCGCCAGGGTGTAGAGCCTCAGTTCAGCCATGGTTACCTTCTCATGGTGAGGGATGGAGACATTGAAAAGGAGAGGATACCTCTGTATTCCATTAAAGCGTAGGGGCCGGGAACTCTGTTCTGAAAATGTTTTTAAAAAACCGTATTATATTTTACGTTGATACAGGATGTACCCAGTAAAGTACTGTCACTATTGCACAACACTGTTTAACCTGCCTAAATCTAGTTTCGAACTGACATTGAGAGACAGGGCTGCCCCCAGAAACCAGCAGACCAGGGAGTTCTGGTATGGAAGCTGGCTGAGTGACTGGATCAGTCCCTCTCTCTCAGCCCAATCCACCTCACAGGGGTGTTGTGCAGAAAATAGGAGGAGGAAAGAAGGTACGTTCACTGCCTTGGGGTATATATGGAAAAACAGGAGGATAAAAATCTTGTTGTTGCAGTTTTGGAGAAATAAATTGATTTTCTGTAACTAAACTGCTAAGTGGCCACAGGGGAAAGTTAAATTGGAAAAAAAATGTGGAAGAGATATCACTTCTGGAACAAAAACCTGTCCTAACTGTTGACAATGGAGGGGCCAGTAATAAAAGAGGCAGAAAAATCTATTAATCAAGTGAAGGCTTTGTGACAAAATGGCAGGCTGAGCTATTGCAAAGAACTTCTAACCGGGTGAACATCATAAGGCAGAATACAGCTTTGGCTATTGCACCTTGATGAGGTCCATTTGAGAACAATGGATTTATAATTTCATGGCCTTTACCAGAAGAAGTTCTAAAGACATAACACTTATTCATAGATACTATAGACCGGGGGGGGGGGGGGACCATGAAGAAGGCAGATTGTAAGTAGCAGCAGAAATCTAGCTGAGAATGTGGTCCATAGTCCATGAAAGTCTACTCTATAACACAGTTGGAAGATATGCCAAGTTCTTGGCTTTTTGAAGATCATAATTACATGCCTTTATACTATGATCCATGGAAATGAGTATCAGCAGCATGATCTGTAGTTAGGAAGAAGCATTTTGCAGTAAGGCATCTTAACGTTGACACATGACTAAATAAATTGTACACTCAAGCACTCTGACTTAAGTAAATATTACATTGAGCTGTTAAAAATATTTGCAAAAACCAATTTCTGAAAGCCAGAAATATAGCCCTATATGTATAATACAAGATAGCCATGGGCTATCAAACTGGTGCTTATAAGAACTGTTTTGTATTACAAAGTTTCAAAGAAAAGAAAGGTTTTAGTTTCTGCAAATTAACACATTTGAGATCAATAAATTTGGCACGGTTTCTGTTTTATACCTTCCACTCATTCTGAATCCTTCTCTTTAGGATAGGTAGACCTTAAAACAAGCAATTTCTAGGCTGTGTGCCTGCACAATCCTTCTGCAGCTGTGTTAAAAACAAAACTGAAAAATTACTGAGTTTGAAATGTATATTTTGAAAATCCTTGCTTATAAATTAACATGACGCCCTTGAAAAACAGCTTGCGGATGGAATTCCACCTCTGTAGAATAATGCCGGAGAGTATGCAATGGCAGCATCTTTAAGGATTTCATTAAATGTTCAAAACTTACACAAAACACACAATCTGGCTGAATGTAGCACAGCCCAGCTGAGGAATACTGTACAGCAATTAGCCTGCAGTGTGAAAGTCAACTAGCTGGGAGATTAGATGCGCCCCATTAAGCAGTAAGACAACTCAGCACGAGGCCAGCTGAATCTCTTTGCTATTATCTTCTCTCTCAAACTTCCTCTCTGCTCCGCTAAAACAATCATCTTCCTTTCCTCTAGTTACAACTGTAATCTAACAACGAAAAGCCAGTGAGATAATTGGCTACTCATCCCATTCGGTTGCTCCTCCTAAAGTTGTGAGGCAAGTTCAAGAGCTTACCTTCATTTTTGAAGCTTCTAACAATATTGGCTGATGGCATCAAGGTCTTGTCCCTGGCAAACCTATTGTAGAGCTCTAACATGTATTCTGGAGGCTCCGTCTTGGCTGCCTCTTGCAGGGGGATCCCTGAGAGATTAAGTGCCTTCATGAGCTCGTTCTGCAAATTCTGAAGCAGCGCATCCTGTTCATCAAAGAAGGGCACCTCTTCATCCATAAGGGGTACATCTAGACTCGTTATGGGGCTCCCATCTGCAAGGTAGGCCAGAAGAGAAACGGTGGCCCAAATCTGGAAGGCTACGGACTCCATGACTTCATTCAAAGTGGCCACACGGCTCTACCAAGTTTGCTGGGTGCGGTCTAAGTGGCTCTTTTATCCCCCCGCGAGGGTTATATACGGCTTGTGTCACCGAGGGTGGACAAGTTTGGAACTTGTGATCAGTCTCTCTCCCATTCTTATTCCCCACACCCCCTTTTTCCAGGTCTCAGTAATTGGACATGGCCTGCTCTGTCTCCTATGGTAGCTTTCCCTCTCTTATCTCCTGTAGTGTAAGCTGTCCACCAGATTTCTGCTGCTATCTCACAACCCCTTTTTCTCTTAATGAGCATTTTGTAAACATTCCACATTTAGATGCTCCAAAAGAGAGGAATATTTTTCCTCTTTGCAGAAGACCTGATTGCCCAGCCCCAACTACTTTTGGCCTAGCTGACTGCATTATTTTTTTTAAATTCTGTCTCTTTGTTGCATTTTTGGCTAAATGTGGAAGAGATGGTAACTCGGTGTCTTGCTCCTACAAGTTTCTGCTATTACCTGTGACCTCCCTAAAGAGATGGGAAAAAAAGAAAGTGATTGAAGATAAAGATTTAAAGCCTGTGATGGTGTGAGGGCTTCTTACTTTAGAGAGCAGTTTCCATGTTCAAAATAAATTTTTGTCTATTGTGATGAAACAGTTGCATGATAGTCTAAATTGCTCATGTCAAAATATATACGAATCTATCTATCTGTCCTTCTATCCAGTCATTAGTTGAAATATGCCTAGTAATATCCAAGACTGGTAATTTTTAAACATTATTAAAATATTCCAAATGTAATACATATCTCAAAAGTGAACACTTAATCATTGCACTAGATTTGTATATATTCAAGCGAAACATTCTATTCTATTCTATTCTATTCTATTCTATTCTATTCTATTCTATTCTATTCTGGCTCAGGAATTCTGGGAGTTGAAGTCCACGAGTCATAAAAGAGCCAAGGTTGCCTACCCCTGGTGTAGGTAATAACAACTCTATTCTTTCTTTGGTGTGAGAAAACATGCATTCGGACAATTGTGGTGGTCAGGAGATGAAGATGGGAGCTACCCAAAGCCTTTTCCTTCCTCCTCTGCACATTGGTGGATGATCTGGGGATGGTCATCTGCACGGAATTTAAATTTAGACAGCACCAGAGAGCCCAACCCCAAGGGAATAAATTAGCCGACTGAATGCAGCAGAAATATGTCATTGAATAGTGCTTAATTTTTCTTTGGAGATTATTGGAAGATTCTCAGGGTCAATGGAACAAAGAGATTGTTGCTTCTGAAAGGGGAGGAAATTCTTGCAGGACATTTCTGGAATTCTCCCATTTGTCAACCCCTTATTTCGTTGCAAGTTTGGTATTCATTTGGGTGTCCGATAAGGAGAAGAGTCTCTCTCATGACATTGACAGAAGCAAGATGGCTGGCCAAAGTCTTTGCAGAAATGTTCAACTTATTCCCCGCCTTCTGTTGTGATGTTATTTCAAGACTGACATTCTTATCCTTAAGGAACATTCCAGGGAGAAGCTCTAAGAACTCTCAAGTGTCAGAATTTCCCAGAAGCATTTTCTGCTTCAATGAGCTTCTCTCAACTTTGCTTTGACTCAAAGGAGTTGGATTACGGTCTGGCCTGAAATTAGCATATTCCAAGTTAAACTCGCTGCTGGAGAATCTTAACAGGTCATCTTAGCATACCTTTTAATTCAACTCATCAGATTAAGAAAAATCTCTGCATTTCTCTGGTTAATAAAACAAAATGGAGACTTCTCTTGTAGGTCAACAGACTTGGGACACAAGAAGGCCCCTTCCTACTTCTTCCTTTCTCACTGTGTGGGATTTCTGAACACAAAACCCAGCTCTGAGAAGAAAAAATGGAAATATGGCCCCAAGTTCAGGTGATATTAAAGAAGAATCTGAATCCTTTTACCAATCTGCCCCAATCTAAAAAAAATGTGATTCCTTCCTACTTAGAGGCATCCATCCATGGCCTCTTTGAATTATATTCTATTATTTGATCCAATTTCTGTCTTGTTTTATAGAAGATGGCTTAAGTGAAATATTTGTTTTTGAAATGTAAAATCCCTTTGAGTTGCAATGAATTCAACTCTTGCTGACTAAATGGATAACATAATCATGCATCCATACAAAAACATTCCTTCTAGGAAAGTTCTTCTGGGGCCCTTCCATTTGGCTCAATATGATAATAACAAGCTCTCAGTTTTTGCTATATGAAAAAAATATACTCTCTATATTCAAGGACCTTAGGCTTGAAAGTGATTGTATGCTAGATGTCACTGTATTTCGTATTAAATTGTGAGATGAAAAAACAAGGACAAATTAATATATTTATAAAGACAATGAAGAAGAAAGTTCATTGAAATTGGGGGATGATATTAGCATCAAAACGGTTCAATATATAGGATTACCCAAGTGTGTTTGGTAAACATACAAGCACAAAAATAAAACATTTTATATTCTACATTATATTACAAGGACAACAGTCAATAAATAGATCAATAAATAATGGCTGCAGGGACAAAGGTTAGGTGGGTTTCAGCAAGTCCTTGGCAAGTGCTTTGCATGAAAATTCTCCTGAAGGTTGGTGATCTCAAAGACCAGCTCTTCTCTCTCTCTCTCAGGTGGCTGTCCAGTTTCTTCTTGAAATCCTCCAGTGATGGAGCAGCCACAACTCTTGAAGGCAAGTTATTCCACTGATTAATTGCCCTCACTGTCAGGAATTTTCTCCTCAGTTTTAGGTTGCTTCTCTCCTTTAGTTTCCATCTTCTCCTTCTGCTGCTTTGGTAAATAGTTTGTCCCCTTCATCTTTGTGGCAGCCCCTCAAATATTGGAACACTGCTTTCATATCTCCCCTAGTCCTTCTTTTCTCTAGATTAGATATACCCAATATTTAGACATAGACATACCCATACATTTCCTTATGGGTATGGAAGCACGGGCATGGTGGTGCTTAATTTCCCTATTGGCTATCATTTTATTGCACAATACCTCCTAAACCGCTTGTTCAATACCGCTAGTGCAGTGTTTCTCAACCTTGGCAACTTTAATATGGGTGTGTGGACTTCAACTCCCAGAATTGCCCAGCCAGCATTCACAAACACATGGCACAACACAGGAGAACAAATCTCTCAGGACAAGATTCAGCAGTCCAACTGCATCTGAAAGCCAAAGGTCACTCTTTTGAAGACAGCAAAGTCCACATTCTGGATGGAGAGGACGGCTGGTTTGAAAGAGGGGTCAAAGACGCCATCTATATTAAAATTGAATGGCCATCTCTCGACAGAGGAGGAGGGATATGATACCACCTATCTTCTGTCTAATGACAGTCCTTTCAATAGTACCAGGAAGGCTCCACACCCATTGGCATTGTGATTCAGGTGTCCCTGAAAGTACAGATAAACCCTTGAGTGGCCTCAAAGACTCTTACAGAGCTTCACGGGTAACGACCAGATGACCGCAAAGAATATAAATCCTTCCATTCCCCACCATTCAGCCAGAACTGAAGAAGCTTCTTGGATGAGAAGCAAAATATTTTCAAGGAAAAACCGAAAAAGGTTCAGCTGCCTTTTGAACAGCACCTTTGGGGCAACCATGACTGGATAGTTGAGAATCTCCGTAGACATTGACCCATCTTAAAGTTGCCAAGGTTGAGAAACATTGCTACTTAGAGCGTCTGTGCAATAAACACCATTATCCACAGAGAAACTAAGCACCGTTCTGCCAATGCTGTCCTACCCATGCATCTCGGCACATTCTCCCGGCCTTGCTGGCCAAAGTGAATGAGCGTGCAAGAGGCTCGCGCGTCAGTCCTTTTCCCATGCTAGCCTGGCAGACACAATTGCTCAAGAAGGTGCCGAAAGCCGCTTATCTCAGGAGTGCATGGAACAACCGCTCTCCTGTCTCATCAGCAACCCCTGGGTGCAAGAAGGCCGGCCTTATCTCCAGCAGAGTGCTCTGGATTAGCTCTCCAAGTAATGCCCCGGGGACATCATGCGAAGAACGGGTTTGTGTCAAACACCTCCAAACATTCCCTGGGCAAACGTGACAGTCACCAATGTTTCCATTTAGGAAAAGTGTACCTGTTCCCTATTGGGAAGTCAAGTAGGGCAGTGAAATATATTTAGCTGCTTTGTTTAATAGTAAAAATTTTCCTCAATGGGCAGGAATTGCTTAGAGGGGGCAAAGCTGTCTTTCAGGGTGCAGTTAAAGGGGCATAGAAGAAAAGGATTACAAAACCCCTGTCCTATTGTTCAGTGTCACGTGCCACCATTTAACTTATAGAAGAGACTATTTGTAACTCAGACTTGTACTATGGGGTATTTTGTGCTATCTGAGCTTGGTGGCTTTCTTGCAGATGCTCCATTGCTCAGCACTGGTGATGTTACCTAGTCTGGTAAGGAAATGTCTGCAAGAAAACCACCAAGCTCAGAGAGCACCAAGGAGCCTGTTAGGTTCAGTTGAACCTAACTGAAATAAGAAGGAATTTCGTGACAGGGAGAACAGTTGTTCATTGCCTCTCGGAGTTATTGGTGGTCTGTTGCTGGAAGTTTTCAAGAAAAGATTGGACAGCCATTTTACTAGGATCGTGTAAGGACTCCTGCCTTGGGCAGGGGGTTAGACTAGAACAGAGGTCCCCAACCTTTTGGGCACCAGGGACCGGTTCCGTGGAGAGAGGTCTTTCCATGGACCAGAAGGTGCATGGTTTTGTGTGCTGCCTGCATCTCGCAGATGGGGCTTTGCTTGTTTGTGTGGACCGGTTGCTGGCATGCTGCGGCCCGGTACTGGTCCATGGATTGGGGATTAGGGACCCCTGGACTAGAAGACTAGACTAGGCTAGATAGACTAGAGCCCCTTCCAGACGTATGATTTTATGAACACAACCCAAGCTCTAACTCTTGCAGATTCCTCTCCTGATCACCCCTAGAACTGAAAGGGGGAAAAAATTGGGTGATTAATTGAGGCATCTCTGAGCAAAATGGTGACTCTTGTGTAATTA